TTCATGTTGATTGATTAATTGAATTTGGGATTTGAAGATTTTCCAAAAGACCGTGAACCTTAATATTCTCTTCTGACGTATAAAGAAAATTTGATTTCTCTCTGATTGAGAAATTGATAACCCAACCCTTCCTTTTATAATAGGAAATTATGACAATTGAACACTTAATGTTGGTAGTGTCGGTCAACTACCAACTAATCCATTTTATTATATATATATATATATAATATTATTCCGTATGGGTTATCTTAATGGGCATCACTTTATTTTTCACGGCTTTTGGGGACTCCACCCATAAATAATTTTGACCCAAATTATACGTTATTTAGGTCCTTTAGTTTAATATTATTATTTGTTACGTCACCAAATAATAATATTACCGGGTGTCCACATTTAATCATTCCACAATCAAAATTAAGTTCCTTAGCCAATGTACAATAATTTGATCACTTTATTTTGGCTAAACAATATAATGACCCAATGTATTAATTACACATATTTAATCCCAAATAGATCTAACAATTTAATGTACACTTAGTTTGAAAAAAGTTATTTATATATATACCAAGTCTAATTCCAGAGCAAAAATGAATATACAAATAACATTACGAAGCATAAATTTTTGCCATGTCAGCATTCGAAACGTGAGTCTGTCACTTAGGCTCAACATGTTTTAAATTAATATATAGGGTGGGATATAAGAATGTCGGTTTAAGTTGGCTTATAGACTAATTATATCCAACATTTTAATTACAACAAACTTCATATGAACTGCTTCTCAAACACAGTTGTACAATATTTGGGTCAAGTTTCTATCATAGGATCCAAGAAGGACGTCCAATCTAAATGGGCCTGCGCCGGTCCTTTAGCTCCATATTAGCTCTTCACTAACTGAAAACAAAAACCCAACAAACCCTTTCTTCCTCCACACCTGAGAGCCACCTCCTCCATGAATGGCGTCTTCCGGCCCTTCTCAGCCGCCCGATCCCCCGTCAGAATGATACGATCGACCATATCCGCCGCTGTCTCACCCCCGACGTCATGTCCATCAGGTCAGCCCTCTTCCATTTCTGTCGCCTTCGCATTCATCAGGCCTCTCTCGTCCTCCCTCGCGCCGGAACCCAATTCCCGACCCGACCCGCCTCCGACGTCGGCCACCGACCTCCCTTCCCAGCTGTTCTCCCTCCTGTGCCAGCCGAATTGGCAGAAACACCCTTCGTTGAGAAAATTAATCCCAGCTGTATGCCCTTCTCTGTTCTCCTCCGTGCTCGCTCAGCACCCCAACCTCAATCCTCAAACCGCCCTCCATTTTTTCGATATCCTGTCCCGGGCCCCCACTTTCAAGCCCAGTGTTCAGGCCTACGATTCGCTTTTACGCTTGTTAGTGAGGAACAGGTTGTATGCGGATGCGGATAAAATCAGGATTCTCATGGTCAAATCGTGTGAGGTGGCGGAGAGTGTGGGCTTCGTGTTGGGAGTTCTGCGAGAGATGAACCGTGGCCGTGATGGTGACTTCAGGTTTAAGCTTAGTCTTCGGTCTTATAACGTGCTCTTGATGTCGCTGGCGAGGTTTGAGATGGTCGGCGACATGGAATCTGTTTATAAGGATATGTTGGATGATAAGTTATCTCCAAATATATATACATTTAATTCGATGATCAATGCTTATTGTAAATTGGGTGATATCCGAAAAGCCCATTATTATTTAGGCAAGATTCTGACGGCTGGTTTGAGGCCGGACACACATACTTTCACCTCATTTATTTTAGGGCATTGTAGGAATAAGAATGTCGATAGAGCTTATGAGATTTTCAGGAAAATGCAGCAAAATGGTTGTCGATGGAATGAGGTCTCGTATAATATTTTGATACATGGGTTGTGCGAAGTTGAGAGGGTGGATGAGGCAAAGAGGCTGTTTTTACAAATGGGAGATGGTAATTGTTCTCCAAATGTCAGAACCTACACGATTTTGATCGATGCTTTGTGTGGTTTGGATAGGAGGTTAGAGGCTTTGGCCCTGCTTGAGGAGATGAAGAAGAAGGGTTGTGAGCCAAATGTTCACACTTATACTGTAGTTATTGATAGTATGTGTAAAGGTGGAATGCTTGATAAAGCAAGAAAACTGTTGTTAGCAATGCTTGGTAAAGGATTAGTTCCTAATGTAGTGACTTACAATGCTTTGATCATTGGGTACTGTAAGAAGGGAATGATTGAGGCTGCTTTTGAGGTATTTGATCTGATGGAATCGAAAAAATGTAGTCCGAATGTGCGTACTTATAACGAGTTGATCTCTGGATTCTGCAGGGTAAAGAAAGTGCACAAGGCGATGGCACTTCTTAGTAAGATGCTAGAGCAGAAGCTTCCTCCTGATCAAGTCACGTTTAACCTTTTAGTATGCGGACATTGTAAAGAAGGTGACACAGAGAATGCTCTTCGCCTCCTCAGGCTAATGGAAGACTACAATGTAGTTCCTGATCCTTTAACCTATGGTCCTGTTATCAATGCATTATGTGAAAAAAGGAGCGTTGATAAGGCATATGCTGTGTTTAACTCCTTCAAAGAGAAGGGTGTGAAGGTGAATGAAGTTATTTATACTGCTCTGATTGATGGATACTGCAATGTGGAGAAAGTAGACTTTGCCCTACAGCTGTTTGAAAGCATGCTTGTTGAGGACTGCCCCCCGAACACGTACACTTACAATGTGCTGATTAATGGGTTGTGCAAAGTGAAAAATTTACCGGAGGCGTCAAAGCTTATGGAGAAGATGTTAAAGGATGGCATGAAACCCACTGTTGTTACCTACTCAATTATCATTGAGCTGATGTTGAAAGAATTTGAATTCGAAAGCGCTTATAGAATTCTAAACCTTATGGTTTCTCTGGGATGTAAACCGGATGTCTGCACGTACACATCTTTCCTTCTCGCTTATTGCAACCAAGGGATGTTGAAAGAAGCTGAGGATGTCATGTCCAAAATGAAAGAAGAAGGCGTGAGACCTGATTTGATGGCCTACACAGTCCTAATCGATGGATATGGACGTCAAGGTCATCTAAATCTCGCCTTTGATACCTTCAAATCTATGGTTAGTGCCGGGTACGAACCATCTCATTACACCTATTCTGTTCTAATTAAACATCTCTCGCATGAGAAGCTAATCAATGAAGACAGTGGCAGAGCAGGGCTCGGTCTGAAGCCAATTAATATTGCCGATGTCTGGAAAATAATGGAACATGGTACAGCTCTTGACCTCTTTGAGAAAATGAAAGATTGTGGTGTTGCACCGGATGTAAACACTTACAGTGCGCTCATCACGGGACTTTGCAGAGAGAGACGCATCGAAGAAGCCTGGAGGTTGGTTGATCATTTGAAAGAGTGTGGAATGTCCCCGAATGAAGAAATTTATAACAAATTAGTTGATTGTTGCTGTAGCATGAAAATGTTCGAGGAAGCTATAAATTCGATTAATGACATGCTAAAGCATGGCTATTTACCTCAATTAGAGTGCTATAAGCTGCTTGTTTGCGGGTTATATGGCAAGGGAAATGCTGAGATGGCCAAGGCAACCTTCCGTAGACTGCTTCAATGTGATTACAATTATGATGAAGTGGCTTGGAAAGTTCTGATTGATGGCTTGCTGAGCCGGGGCTTTGTGGATGAATGCTCTGAGCTGGTAACTGTCATGGAAGAATGTGGTTGCACACTTAATTCTCAGACACATACTATGTTAGTCCAGGGGATTGTTGATCAAAGAGAGGGCACATAGGCCGTGAGGCCCGGACAGCACAATATATATGCTCTTGGAATATGTAAGTCGTACCTGCACAAATTATTAAACATCATTTTTTTTATGGAACTATAGTTTGTTAATTAGCAACAAGCAGCAGAACACTACCATGTGGGTTTCTAAAAGTATATTTGATTGATATGTTATTATCAAATGTCAACATTAGTAGTTAACCAAAAGAAAAAGGAAAACCAAATCAAAGAAAATTAGGAATACCAAATTCGCGAAATTACATAATCCTTAAATGATTTGTCTTGGTTCAGGATTTAATAATATGCAGCTTTGAAAATAATTATGTTTGAACGAGCACGGGGACTATCAATTGTTCAGATGCTGGAATCATGGAAGTTAGCAAATTCTGCACTGACAAGGTAAAAGGGAAGCAGATATGGAAAAAAATGGCACAGTACTGACAAATCGAAGAACTCCTTATATTCTTTCATGCGTCGTTTGAAAAGTGTTATGGGGGAACTGGTAACATAACTTGATGCTATTGATATAGTAATTACGAGTTGTGAGTTCTTAACTATTATTTAACAATTAACATATTATATATAATATATATATATATATATATATATACAAATTTTAGTTTGTTGCGAGATGCCTAAATTTTAAATCGTTGTAGTTACGTTCACGAGCAAGCATTATACTCATGTGATGCCATACACGAGGGGAGGAGAATATTATTGAGGCAGGACATTGGAAGGATGGTTCTCTTCATCGCTTATCCATCAAGTTTATTGGCTCCTACTATTCAGGTGTGCATGATTATATGATATATATACACACACACACTCACACACACACACCTTTTAAAGGTTTCTTAATGAAATAGGATATATGAAATCTTGTTTGACATGAAATTTTAGTTCTGGACTAGTCTTGGTTAGCTAAAATGATAAAGGAAACTCATGATCCTTGGACTTTGGAAGTGCAGTTGTCAAAATATTTAGTCCATCCTAAACTTAAATGATAACCAAAGCATGCGATTGGGATATGTCCACTTAGATACTCATTTCTGCAAAGGTATCTGCAAAAGAACTAAAATTAAAGCCCGTTGGTTTTATGCAAATGATGTTTTCTGCCTTAGTTTTTGTACGGTGTGGAATGCTATGCTATTTTCAGCACATCGGGAGTAGTGACTTCGTAATAAATAAACTGCTTGAGTTGTGGGCAGATAGGAACCGTAAGAATGTAATTCACTTGTGAAATATATATTTTCCATGGTTTCGTTCTTCACTGAATGTCTTTGAGGTCGGCTAGATACCTAGGATAATATTCTTTATTTTTAATTAATTAGTCTGCAATGAAACATTTTTTTTGTACATCCTTCTGCATTATTGCAGGATCCAAACGATCCGACTGTTGTGTTTTTCTGGGAGGGAATGGACCGTCTTTGCTGCCTTATTGCAATTTGCAGGTTAGTCTTCCCTGTTCATTCATGTATTCCCTGCCTAGCGATGACATGATACTACCTTTAGCCGACATGCATCGTAACTTTCTCTTTGCCCTGCGGTTGAAATTTGTTGGGATATTCAATTTATAATGAGAATATCTATATTTTATTTCAGCCATTAGAGGCCATAGCTGAAATCATGGCCCTTGAACTCGATGCTACTTTGAAGATACTTTTCCAAAAGATGATTCGGCTACCAAAACCTCAGGCCGTAAATACTTCTACTATCACCAGTGATATATCAGTAAGCTGTTTATCAAGTCTATTATTTTTGCTTCTATATCTCATGTTATACAAGACTCTGAAGTTGGCATAGTTATTGAGTGTACTGTTACATGAAAAAAGATGCGAAAAAGAAAAGGAAATGGAGTTCTTAGCATTCTTGCCTTCATGCCTAAAAAGTAAAAACTTGTCGAACATTGTAAACAAGCGAATATACAAAAAATTTCTGTCTAATGAAGGCAAGCTTGGTGAATCGATAATGGGTTTTGAATTTGGCTTTCGGCTTGCTGGATTGATTGGTCAATGTACAATCATGCGAATTCAAATCTCGATGGAGCCTGTTTGTTCAGGCTCCAAACTATTTTTAGATGGGTCGCAGATGATTAATCTGCAAGTGAGGTTTCATTTGGTTTTTTCCATCCTATTTGTGTTGCATTTTGAAAAATGAAATCTTTATTTGAGATACTCAGAAAAACATGTTTGTTTAGGGAAATTTTCAAAACAATTCCAACATTTTAACTCAGCAACTTTTTTTAACTCAACCACATTATTATCAATATTATCATTATCATTAAATAATATCTATCAACCAATCATTCATGCATACCACATCTAACCTTAATTCAATATTCATTTACTTACATTATTTTAACTATCACTTCAAACCATCTATCTCTTACTTTTACATCAAATCAATTTTAATTATTTTATTTTAAATATTATTTTAATATACACCCTAACAACTAGAATTTTTTACGTGAAAAAAATAAAAAAAAACAAGTGCTGGAACAAAAAACAAAACAGAAAAGGGGAGGTGGACAAGAATCAAAAGCACGTATTTACAAAATACGTTTTTCAATGTTTTTATTTGTAAAACGTATTTTGTAAATACGTTTTCTTTTGTAAAAAAAAAATTGTAACACGTATTCCCTAAATACGTTTTACAATTAACTTGTAAAGAAAACGTATTTAGTGAATACATGTTTTTTATTTTGGTCCACTCCCCCTCCCCCGTCCCCCTTTTTTTTTACTTTTTGTCCACTTATTATTTTTTTATTAATAAATATATAAATTACTCCTAACAACTAATCATTCTAACTTTATAAAATTAACCAAATCAAACCAAAAAATTTTCATAAACAAGCATGCTCTCTCGCGAGATTTTCTTTCTATAGTTCAACGCGCAAACGTTTCTGTCATTTTAGATCACACGCACACACATCCACACGAGTGTATACTTTAGTTTGCCTTCACGTAGTAGGATTCGAACTACTAAATACTAATACATCATGTCCCACCTGGCCAATTTTAACAATAGTTAAATTTCCTTCTAAGAATGACTCTTATGAAAGGATATTAAAAAGTATAGTTGAATGAATAAAATTAAATAACCACTCAAAAATAATTTTATGCTTCTCTACAATTGGAGAGGGTTACCATCACTCGGAAAAAAAAAAAGAAAAAAATTGTTTATGTAATAATAAAAGAGTTGTTCTGTGTAAAGTGTAATTCGCCTATGCAGTTTGATTTAAAAAAATTAAATTTGTTCGAAAAAAAATATTTCAGGTTTGAAAACAACTCTCTTGTATCAAACAAGTTGAATTCGACTATTATTTTTTAATTAAATTAGCACAAAGTCGAATATAACTAACGGGAGATTTACGGTCTCATTATGAAATCATTCCATCAAAATTTGTTATCCTTAAATTAACTATCCACGATGATTTATTTAATTGTTATAAATCTGACATAATGATTTCGTAACGAGAT